ACTGGAAAGAGCTGCAGGTCTCCTTTCTACTCCAAAATTGGATGCTTGAGTGACATGCAGCAGTATTTAAATGGATTTAATGCACGAGGAAAACAGACAAACATCAGCACCAGCCCTCCAAAACGTGTTGGAAAATGGATACAATCAGGCTGTAAATTCCTTTGAATGCAAACAAACAAACCATTTTCAGCCAGCAGCAAAACGCACAAAGAAACGTGCAGGGCAAGGAAAACTCTCATGAGAAAAGGTGTCCCATCATGTTTTCGCCTCAAGGCCAGAGTGCCTCACAAGAGAAGGAGAAAGTTTACTTTCTGACACCGAGCGTTGCTGTATTGTTCCTTTCCAAAAGGCTGAGGAAGCGCTATGAAGCAGCGGCTCTGAAATTCAGCATCTGCTCTCTGACTGGGAAAACAGTGCCGGTGGTAAGGAACATACAGACGTGTTACTGTGAAAACTTTCCTCTCGCATGCCCCAGATTCATAATTTGTGCAGTTTTGCAGCATCCAAGCTTTCTTCAGACCCTTCCACGAGTGACTGCCCGAGGGGGCGGGGATCAGATGATCCAGCCACCGATAGTGACGACACCATAAGAGCGTGAACGAAACCCATACAAGGATCCAGCCTCTGAGGTCACCATCCCATGCATGTTTAGGCAGGAGGAAAGGCCTACAACTCCCAGCATGCCTCAGCCAGCAGAGGACTGTGCCTGAAGTTTGCCCTGCTTTGGTCCAAACGGAATTAAGTCATTCCATGACTGGCTTCCATAGCAATAAAGCATGACTGACTTAATCTGGATCTAATCCAATAGGCTGGCAGTAAAACTGGCAAAACTGAGGCTGTGTTCTTTGGGCACCTTGTGAGAAGGCAAGATTCACAGGAGAAGGCAGTCATGGCACGGGGAGGAAGGATACGGGATACAACAGTTCCATAAAGGAAACGCTGACTTTACAAGAGCTGAGCTGGGCTGTCGTAAGCGCAAAGCAACAGCCAACAAGCTGCATAGGCCTCTTCCATAAAGTCCTGGCCAATCAGGCTTCCTGCTGGTGTGCATACATTTGCATGCTCATTGGCCCTTCGCCCTGTCACCAAGTACATGCCACCCAGGGTAAGTGGCTCACAAACATTCTCCCGCTACAGGATTCATGCCTTCTCTGTATGCAGATGCGTGTATTCATGACTGACTTGCATCCAGTTTGCCTCCAAGGTTTACCTGCAAGAAAGGGAGGCAAAGCCTCCTTGGACAACCTTTGAGGTGTCCCCCAACATGTGCCTTGAAGGGCCACTAGGGTGACCTACCTGACTACAGCAGCGGGCAGCTGGCACCATTAAATTTCCCACAGTGCTCTGGAGCATCACTGTGTCAAGAGCATCGTGGGACATTTCGGAAAGGTGGCAGCTCTCAGTTCAAGAGCAGGGTTGGCAGCGCCCTTGATCTCTGCTCAGTGACGCAGGATACTGACAGCAAACTTGGAGAGGAATAAATCGTTAGGAGTTTGGCATTCCTTTGTATGTATTCTGTAGGGCAGGCACCACCTTCCTCCTTAACAGCTCCATCCTGCATCTCACAGAAACCCTTTCTCTGCATACAACTTAAGAGCTACTGCATGTGCTCCGAACTCTGACACAAGCCCAGGGTGATAGCTACACAACTTCTCAGGGTAGTGAAACCACACACACACAAGCGATGCTCGCAGGGACGGTTCCAGCAACTGACCGGCGTGGCTCGCCATGTGTCCGTACCGTCAGCCCGTTCTGTGTTGCAACAAGGCTGTTCCGCACATTTGTTCGGAGAATGACATTCGTCTGAGAATGCAATCCTTCCCCAATTAACTTTCCATCTTTGCCTCCCACAAAGTTTGCACAATTGCATCCTTCATGCAGGCCCACTAAGTTACACCATCCTGTTTCTGCCATGGTGCTTTTCTCTGATCTTTCCCCAAGTGTATGAAGAACTCCTGGCCATCCATTTTCCCTCCCCGTTCAATGCCAAGCAGAATGAAGCATCTTTCACAGCTGGCTCTCCAGGTTCTGCTTGAAGACCCCCAGCTCTGTTGCTCACGGGCTCCTCTTACCATCAAAATGTTTCTCCTAATGTTCAGCCCAAATCTGTCTTCCTACAACTTTGCAGTGAGATACCGCTGAGGAAATATGCAGAGTTGGCTGGTGTAGGTCTATCTGAAAGACTATTTTCTCCCATATGGGCAAGCCTGGGCACTAGGTTTTTCTGGAGAGGACTCTCTCTTGGCCCTCCCACCCTCTCAGGCACTCCCAATGGGAATGGGGGGCAGGGCCTCCTTGGTGGCTGCCCCGGGGCTCTGGAATTCCCTTCCTAGGGAGGCTAGGTTGGCAACTTCCTTGTTAGGTTTCCAAAAGCAGGGAAATCCCCCTTTGCTTCAACAGGCCTTGGGAATGGCGTGTGAGTTTGTGCTGGATTAATTTTGCTCTGTATATTGTTTGTGATCTGGGTATTTGTTTAATTTTAATCTGGGTAAATTTAATCTGGGGATTTGTTTAAATTTATTATTTAATTAATTATATTTTCAACTTGTGCAGATTGTTAATGTTTTAACTGTATGAATTCTAATGTTGTGAGCCATTCTGTGTCATTGGGAATAGGGAGGATATTATTAACAACAACAATAATGAATAAAAATCATATCACTGCATTTGTACTTAGAGCAATTACTGAGTCTGGATCCTCTGATTTAACTGTGCATAACATTAGATGATGATGATTAAATAATTATTATTTAGTTAGTTTGGCACCTAAAAGAGATAGCATTGTGTCCATTTTCTCTTTCCACAGAGAGGCGGCACGACATAGTGCTTGGAGTTGGGAAATCCAGATCCTACTCAGCAGCAAAGCTCACTGATTGACTCTGGCCCATCCCAGATGCCCGGCCTAACCTACCTTACAGGGTTGTTGTGAGGATAAAATGGAAAGGAGGAAAAGCTTGGAAACCACCTTGAGTTCCTTGCAGGAGGAAAACAGGCAGGTATGCATGTAATGACAATCTTTTTTGGAATGTTCCTTGCAGACATCAAAAGGACAGAAACACCTGGAACGAGGCACCTGTGGTGGGTCCTCATTGTTTCTGTTATCGAATGACCCTGAATATTTCTCCACGCTATAAACTGTGGAAGAAGCCAAGGCACACGAGAAGCCTGAAGTGCGGTTCAGACCGAGTTGCAGAAGGAGCTGAAGGCCGCCCGGGAATCCGGCTGTGCAATTCTTCCAGGGGCTCCCAAAAGCGGAAGGCACTTCAGCCCCCTACTCTCAACCTTCCTTGCTCGATCATCCCTTTCCTAGAGTCCACTAATACGGCTTTTTAACTCCCAAGTGTGCTCATTTCTCTGGATCCAAAAGAGAGCCACTGCCACCAACAGAACAAAGCCGAACCACTTCGAAGGAGTTCTACCTGCCAGGGCAGCAGAGAATGAAATGCTGCCACCTCCCTTTTGGCAGCTCCTCAGGGATATGAAATGCCCTCTCCACTCAGCTCTCTTTTCTCCAGGACAAACACAGCTGCCCCCTCAGCATTTCCTCCTGCCCTGGCCACCTTTCTGGCTCTCCTTCAAACCTGCTCCAAGTCACCTGTATCTTTCTTAAAGCGCAGCATGGCGGTTAGAGCACCGACAGGGACTCAGGAGACTCGACTCCAGTCCCCACTCGGGCCATGAAGCTCATTGGATGCCTCTGGCCCAGTCTCTGACTTTGGACTAACCCACCTCACAGGGCTGTTTTGAGGATAAATGAAGGAGGCGGCATCCAATGTTGGCTGCCTTGGATTCCTTGCAAACGGGAAAAAAGGGGATTCAGATCTAATCGTCATCATCTGCACCATCAAAGCGTCGCACCTGGAAACTGACGCAATTCTGGAGTTGGTAGGCAGGGCAGTTCTCTGACAAACCAGGAGGGGGGAATTTACAGCAGCTGCTAATGAGGGATGATGATGATGATGATGATGATGATGATGAAGATGATGATGGATGCTGAAGACAGACTGGCCACACCATCTGCACGTGCCCCGCCACTGCACCAGCCGGCTGCCCACAGGTTCCACAGGTTAAGCCATGCCTTTGAGCTTCTGCACCCAACCTGCTCGCCCCTTTGGCCTGGTGCCTTGGGCAGGGCGTCAGTGGCCCACTTACCAAAACGACCCCCCAGCCTGGCCTGTTGCCCTCCCTCCCGCTTAGCCCAGCTTTGCTCCCTGAAAACCAGGAGGGCCAGCTCTTCACAGTGAGGAGAGGAACAAGATCACCTGCTCCTTGTGGCAGAAGAAACCGCTGCTAAGGACACAGGAGCAGCACCCAGCTGAAAAGTTGGCAACCGTGCTTCTGAGCCTTTCAGAAAGGGGGAATTCGACGAGATGCGGGTTGGGGCAACTTTGGGATCTGTAATATGATCCAGGAGCCCTCGTAGCGGGTGCAAGCAGGCTGCCCGCAAAATCGGTTGGTCAGGCGATGAGGCGACTCAGCGCTGGCCCAGCTGCTCCGGTGCCCTTAACGCAGCAGAGTAAAAGTCACACTTTTCTTGGCAAGGTGCTAAGCACTTTCTCATCGCCGAAGATCAAACGGCCATGACGGAAAGAGAGATAAGGGATCTTCAGCCGTTGGCAACGCTGGTGCGGAGCAGCTTAGACAAAAAAGTTCTTTCTTTCCCCATATCTATTGCCAAGTTTACAATACCACTATGGTGTATTCACAGTGTTCACATGCTGCACGTCTGAACAGATTCCGGAATGAGGATCAGGCAAAAGGGGTTTAAAAGAGAGGCGATAAAAGTCTGTAGGAAAGCAGAGCCTCCGCCGAACAAAAGGGGACAGTGAGAACATCGCGAGCGCTCCTAAAGTGGGGAGAAGTGCAGTTCGTCTCGCAGGGCAGGAGCCGAGCTCAGTCCAGCCCGTTCGCCGCCCATGCTCCGCTCGGATCCCTCCCAGCCAAGCTGCCTTGCCCCCCCAGCCCAGCCCAGCCCAGCGCAGCCCAGTTCGCCCCATTACCTGCTCTCGGGCCCGGGCCTCGCGCTGCCTCTGCCCTGTCTGTTGCCACCGGAGCGATCGCAGAGCACCCAGCCCGGATTGTGGCCGCTGCAGCTGCTGCTCTCAGTCAGCCAGCCAGCCACCCACACAACCCGCCACCCCCTCCTCCTGCCTCCAGCGGGGACAGCAGCGGTGGAGCCTGGCGCGCACGGCCGGCTCGCTCCCAGCGGGCGCAGCGCCAGCGCGGACGGGGTGCCCCCTCCAGCCATCGCAGGGCGCGGGGAGGCTGGAGAAGGATCCCCCTCCTGCTCCTTGACCACGACGGCCAGCCCCAGCTTCCCCATCGCGGCATCCTCCGGATCACGTGTGGACGCAGGCTGGGGGAGAAGTGGCTTTTTTAGACGGCTGGAAACGTCGGACGGGGCGCGAATGGTTGCCCTTGGTGGACACAAGCGCCACGCCCGACGTTAATGCCGCCACGATTCGAAGGCAAAAGGAATAGCTTTTTACTGCGGCTTATTGATTTGGCAAGATATGCAGATTCCAGGGCGATTCCTGGTGGTGAACAATAAAAGATAAACTGGTTAAAAGAATAACACGGTATGTAAACAATGGAATCGATCGAACAAGGGCTGGTTAGTGCACTGAACCGTTTACACTGAAACGATTCTTTCTCTCGCATCTTTTGCTCTTTTTTTCCTCTTCCTTCCTCTTTCTTTGTCTCCTCTACCTTTCCAAGAATCTGTAGACTGCTCTAAGCTGGCTTCCAAGTTACTGAAGGGGTTTACAAAGATAATAACAGTAGAAGAAAAACTACGCAGTACAGAGAGAGACAGTAGGACAGCTCAAATAGAGAACATTCTCAGAAAATAGAGCCATTATTTCAGCTAGTGGTGAAATCCTCGGTATGTCTACTCAGAAGTAAAACCCATTGAATTCAATGGGAATGACACCCAGGTAAAGATGTAGAGGATTGCTGCCTTTTCAAAAAGGGCCAATGTTAAAAGATCGAGACAATTTGGAAAAGTTGTCCTGTGTTTTTATGGGTGGGTAAGCTCAGCGTAGGGACATGAATCGGGACCTCGCGCTAATGAGCATCACAGTTCATGAAAATCAGCACAGATTCTCCCCCAAAATTATCCTGATTCCACATCATCTTTATTGCACGTGTTCCCTAAACATCTGATATAGAGTCCCCCCTCCCCCCAAGTTTCTACAATTGTTTGAATGGTGCTTCAAAAGCCCACCTGCATTGTTTGACCAGTGGCAATGACAAGACCAAAAAAAATAACTCTGTATTTTCAATACCATTCCTCATGCAGAAATTCAGCCAGGAGAGCTTTTGCAAAGGAAAAACTTCACCTGTTGGATTTCCACTGGTTCGGTGTCCCTTACAACCAGTCTGCCCCATAATAAAACCAGTTTGTTGTATCATAGATAACAAGGTTAGAATGTTTCCATTACTTTAATTATTCACATGCAGAATTCAAAATCATGACTTATTAATTTCTAATGATGGCCAGAACCACCCTATTACCCTACAGGGCCATTTCAGTGTTCAGAATTAACAACAACACAACTAGCAGTGAATGCCATTCCTTACAGTAACTAAAAAAGGAAGTGTTACATAGTGGTTACAGTGGTGGAGAGGACTGGGGAGACCAGGGCATGAAGCTTCCTGGATGATTTGGGGCCAGTTGTTGGCTCTTAGTCTGAACAACCTCCCAGGGTGGTTGTGAGGAGAACGTGGAGAGGAGGCTCATGCAGTCTGCCCTAGGTTCCTTGCAGGGAAAAAGGCAGGAAATAAGTAGAATAAATGCAATTAAAATAAATAAAAGCCAGCCAGAAAAAAGAAGAAGCTGCAGTCTTGGAAGATCCCAAGGTTTGCAGAAGTACAAGTCATCTTCAAAGGGAAAGGCCCCAAATGAGACAGCATGCTTAGCGTTGATAAGACGTGGGCTGCACCGAGGGGGCATGGAATCAAATGGCTGTCTCCTAAGCAGCAGCACTTCATGCTGTAACTTTTTGTTGCAGTGAGCACGTGTGCTATCTTTCTAGAAAACAATCAAACCTATGAGTTGTTCATTTTATTTTACATTATTATTGCATTTATATCACACCTTTCCTCCGATGTACACAAGGTGGCATACATAATCCTCTCTCTCTCCACTTAATCTGTTTAAGTTGATGAGAGTCACTGCCTGGCCCAAAGACACCCAATGATCTTCATGGCCAAGTGGCGACTATGATCTCTGGAACTCCTGGACCCCAGAGGGCCAGTGCTGTAACCACTACACCATACTGCCACTTCATTTTTAAACCATTTTGTTTGGAAGACCAAACTGAGAAGGGATGTTGGACTCGGGTCAAGAGCTGTTTGCTTAAAATGGATCAGGGAAGTGCCCAATATCTACCAACTTTTGCTTCTTTGAGGATTTCATTTGCAAAATTATATTTCCCTACCACCCCTGCGTGGAAGATGCAGTCAGGTAATAAGAAACCAGAGTCCCGGTGCCTGCAGTCTGGATGAGAAAGAAAGAAGATGCTTCACATGATCGATCATGCTTCCTTTTATGCCCAAGTCCCACGGAGAGGGTCTCGGGCCCATTTTTGGCAGCTTCGCTGGGAAAGAGCATCCATGTTGGCTGCAGTGGAGAAGGTAAACTCCATGGTGGTCATAATCATGAATGGAATAGAAAACAGAACAGCCAAGATCTAACCCCTACCCTCACTCCCTTATACAAATCCAGGGCATGGACTGCACTTGGAATACTCTGTCCACCTCACCTGAGTAAAGACGTTATTGAATAGGGAAACATAGAAGCACAGAAACAGCGAGTCAGAAGGGGTCTTCCGGGCCATCTAGTCTGACCCCCGGCACCAGCCGGCTCCGCTCACGACATGCCCACCATGTGCATGTCCAGCCTATCCTTGGACACCCGCACCGATGGGGCCATTCCCTCACCGATGGGGCATTCCCACACCGATGGGGCCATTCCCGCACCGATGGGGCCAGAGAAGAGCAGCCAGACTGATCTGGAGGCAGCAGCGGCTTCTCTCTGAGAGGCTGCAACAGGTGGGACGCTTCCGCTTAGAAAAAGGTAAGCAAGGGCAGACGTAACAGATGAATTAAAAATTGTGCGCAGAGCGGGGAAAATGGAGAGGGAAGAATTTTGCTCCCTCGCTCATCCCGTGGTCATCCCACGATGGCAGGAGGTTCCAGACAAATCGAAGGAAAGACTTTTTCACACGGCATAGAGTTAAACGATGGCATTTGCTGCCACAGAAATGGGAGATGGCCGCCAATCTGGATGGCTTGAAAAGGGGGCTGGGCAGATTCACGGGGAGGAGGAGGCTCCCTGTAGCTACTGGCCTTGCTGGCCATGGGCTCCCTCCTTACCAGAGGTGCCCTGCCTGCACACACCTGTTCCTGGGGAACTTGGACGGGGGAGGTCTTGCACCCACCCCGCTGGAGGGATCCTGGGGGCAGCTGTTTTGCCACCATGCGTATTTAGCGCTGGGCCAGAAGGCCCTTCAGTCTGATCCAGCAGGGCTTTTTAAAAGTTCCAATGCCATTGCTCTTATTCACTGATCCCTGTCAGTTTTGAACTTCCTGTTACATATACAATAGCATTGCTTGTGCTGGGAAAATTCAGATAAATCCTGGTAGAAAACTGTTGCTTATATATACCCTTGTGTTATAAAATCAAAGCTGCACCCCCTTGCTCAGAAAGCACCGGAATTCCAAGCCAGGTTATTGTTTGGCATTTGCTGATACTTTAAGCAATGGGAACTGATAGCTTGCCTAGAGGCTGCCAGGGCTACTGTTCTGCTGATCAGTAGGAACTGATAAGGCTAACAGCATTGCAGCCACCCTCGTTTGCATGCCAAGACCCACAATAATCCCTGTACCTCAGTGATCAATATGTTACTCTCCTGCAATCAATACCATTGTACTGAGCCCCCTCTGCAGACCCCTCACCTTCTTCTGCCTGTGCTCCCCTTATTTTGCCATCAACTGCCCAGCTGCTGGGTGCATGTGACTTACAATCTATAAAACACTCTGTATATGTTCTAGAAGCCTGTAGTTGGTGGCGAGAACCACTACCCAGTGACATGTAGGCGTAAGTAACTGCAGGGGGCCTGGGGGATCTTTCAATAAAACTGCTGAGGTTCAAGGCAAAAGGGGTCTTTCCTGACTGAACCCTTTATCCTTGTTGCAGCTGCCATCGAGGCTTTCCGACGTTTGCCAAGGATGAAACCTTGGGCAGCCAGACAGAGTCAAGGTGGCCCTAGGAAAATTTGGACCTCCCTCTGCGACCTCAGAAATGCACTCCAAGGCCAGAGTGCAGGCTCCGAATTCTGAGCATCGTCCTTCTGCCCTCCTGGCCGGCATGGGAAAAGTGACTTGGAACCGGTGCTGGGGCTGTTCTGGGGGCAGGAAGGACTGAGGTGAAGCTCCGCCAGTGAGTGAGGTATCCTGGCAGCGCCTCACCTGCCCTCCGTGTGGATGGGGCAAAAGACCTGGAGGGGAGAGGCACCAAGGGGACCTCCCCCCGTTGCTGTGCAGCTGGCCAGCGCTTTCCCCAGAACCGATCCGCTGGGCAGCGGGACAAGGCGCATGATTTCGCCGCTAGGCGTGGGTGGAGACTTAATCCTGCCACCTCCCTTCGCGCCTTTGCCCTGCATCCAGGCAACCTTTTAGCACGGAAACATAGAAACAGAGCGAGTCAGAAGGGGTCTCCTGGGCCATCTAGTCTGACCCCCGGCTCCAGCCGGCTCCGCTCACGACATGTCCACCATGAGCCAGGAGTGGGGCAGGTGGGGGGCAGTATCCTCCTGTATCTCTGTCCCTACGTGCCTCTCCCCCACCCCATCTCACTTGTGCTTTGTTCAGCTCACAGCACACCAGAGAATCTAGCCATGCAAGAGAGAGACCGAGTGCCCCTGAGCATATTTTCGCTGGGGAGGAAGGCACCTAGAAACATCTTGTACGCCCTGCCACCTCCAAATCCCACTCCTCCCAGTAGTTGACCAGTGGGCTTCTGGGGGAGAATGCCGAGGCTTACCCCCCTCCATGGCCTGCAGTTGAGGCTTCTAAGGATTCACGTGCATTTCAGGTTGTCCAGCT